AGTTTATAGCAGAGACCTTAGAATATTTACTGCATAGTTAAATAGTAAAGTTAAAGCTATAATGCTTATTAGCTAAAAGTAAAACTTAACATTACTTACTAAATAGCATCTAGTTATTAGTAGTGCTTGCGCTATCTTAGAGACGCCTAAGAGCATCCTAAAACCTAGCCTAGAAGTCCCCCTGCTGCTGCATTATAACATTAAGTATAATTGTCTTATTAAACAAACTATACAGGTGCTAACTATAGGTCTTTATAAGGCATTTCTAATTAGTACAATTAAACAGCGGCTGCTAGCTAACTAGGGGTAGTTGCCTAAAATTGCTAGATAATATAATGTTAATGCTACTAAAGTCCTCCTTAGACTCTAGAAACACCTACGCACACCTAGTGTAGATCTAGCTAAGTATACTAAGGCTAACTATAAATTTTTTATTAATTATAATATATTTAACTTATTAAAGTTAGCTTTAAAGCTAGGAGAAACTTACTCTTTATAAAGGTAAAAAAAGTCTATACTTATTAATAATTAAAATGTAAAATATAGAGTTAATAGTGCAACTAGATATAAGATATACAGCCACACTAGTAAGCGCGCATTACATTATAGGGTTGCTAATGTTGTATTATAAAGCTAAGTTATTAAGAGCTAAGAATATACTATTAATAATAAACATCTTTTTTATACTACTAACTCTATCTAAATTAATAAGCAACTGCAGTAGTAAACAAAGTTTAAGATATACTATAAAGTAGTTTATAACTAGGTTGTATAATAATCTCTATTTTGCCTAAAGAGTATTAGACATAGTATTAGACGCCCTAGCTCTAGCAACTAGATAGCAGCTTTTTAGCCTAGACTAATATGTTATTAGATCTAGATTATATAGATTAATATAAGACAAATCTATCTAATTCTTTACCTAATTAAGTAGATAGTTACTAAGGGTATTTAGATTAACATCCTCTTTGTCTTTTTCTAGTTAGTGTAGCTTAAGCTTATTAAATAATAAAGTCTTCTTTAGCACTACATCTTTCTACTTAGGATTATCTAGGTCCTTCTCTAGGTTAGGTTTACTATAAGTGTTAGTTAGCTTATAGAAATAGATAGTACAGTAATAATTATAAGCTTTAGTAAATGTCTTATAAGTAACTTTATAAACAGCTAATAACTTATTAGTAGCATAAAAGAAGTAGTGTAAAGTTAACTTAACTTATAAAAAGTTCTCTAAATTAAGAAAGAGCTTATATTAAAAAAAAAAGTTTAGAATCTTAGGCTTAGCTTTTAGCCTATGTTTTAACTTTTTAGTAATATAGTTAAAATAAAGTAGAAAGTCTAGGTAGCAGATATAGTCTAGAGAGCTATCTTACTCTAGATATTTCTGCATAAGTGTATAAGCTTTTATAATAGTAAACTTGTTATAGTTCTTTACTTCTGCGTTTTTTAGTAGTCCTTATTACTAAGCTTAATCCTAGAAAAAAAAAGAAATAGTTATAAACTAATAAGTTAATAATTAACTATAATAACAGTCTAGCTATAGTAATAAAAAGGTAAGTAAAATAGCTAATATATAACTTTCTAAGCACTATAATTCTAAGCGCTAAGCCCCTTATTTATAAGCTTTATAGTAAACAAAAGTATAAAATTGCTAGGTCTAATATATAGTAAGACCTAAGCTGCTATCTTCTTAAACATCTATATCTAAGTCTTACCTTTAGAAGCATACACGCCTATGTAATTAACAACCCTAGTAGTACTTATACATACTTATATATTAGTATTAGCGCGCTAACTAAGTGTAAGGGTATATAAATAGGTGTTAAGTTGCATATAGTTCTATTATGCAAAAAAACACTTATAAGGCTTTTCTTTTACATGTGTAAATGTTAGCACCTTTTGCACTTTTTAAGAAGTGTTAAATTAGTAAACTTTTTCTTTTATTTTTTTATGTACTTTTAAATAATAGCTAGTCTAACACTAGTGTAAATAATAGTGTGTTAGGACATTAAACAGCTTCTTAAACATAAATGTTATAAAGCGCTATAAGAGAGACAGTACTAAACCCTTATTTACTAACTCTTATAGCTTAGGTTCTAGATAGATTACTAAGATGTAACAGCCCTAGTATGCTGCTAAGTAAGTAATAAAAAAGAGTGTAGCGTTCTCTCCTAGCTTGTTGTTAGAATAAGGTGTGTTACTGTAGTAGTAGAGACTATAACTATGTGTGCTTCCTCTGCCCTACTACTTATACTAATTCTACTAATTTATAATGTTAAACTTTAGCTTGATTACATGCTTTTTAAAGAGCTTAAAATGTTAATTAAAGTAATAAGCTATAATATGTAAGTTATCTTACATAAAGGTAGACACTAATTATAAACACTGTTTAGCATTAGCAGCTTTCTATAAAGAAAACTCTTATATAAAGCGCAGAAAGTTATGCTAGTGTTAATTAGTAGCAGAGAAGGTAATAAATAATGTAAGATAATAAAGTTGCTAAACCTGCTAAGTTTTAATATATGCGCTATAAGTATTAGATAAGTATTAGACACACTATTACTTTAAAGTTTTTCTCTTTTTATATCTAAAACAACTAAGTACTATAAATTTTAGCTATAAAATAAATAATAAAGTTAACTATTTATTACTCTTTATTTTTTCTAGTAAATTACTTCTATATGTCTTCTACTATTAACTTCTGCCTATTAAAGGCGCGCTTAACATAGAATTCTGCTTTAGACACAGACTCCTTCTAAAGAAGCATATTAAATGCTATAAACTAGAAATGTAAGTGTTAAGCAAATCTTCTGTCCTTATAATAAATAAAGTAGCGCACATAACTAAAGAAATTAACATTATGTAGTTAAAGCTGTACAAATTCTGCCTTACTATATAGAAATAAAGATAGGAACATAAGGCTAAATAAAAGCTTATAACTATTAAATTTAGAGATTAAAGTTTAATAAATAAAACTTATAAAAAGAAACTTTTATGTTATTATTTAATAAATATAGTCCTTTAATGTCTTAAACTTATAAACATTAGGTGTAAAGTTAGGTACAACTTTATGTTTAGGCTTTTTAACCTTATTAATGTCTATCTCTTTAAATACAGAGCTTCTACTATAGGTGCTGCCAGCGTCTTTATCTACAGCAGATGTAGCAGTATTAGATAAAGTATTAGCCTCTAAATTATTATCTTTATCTACTATATTTATAAGTAAACTATTATTATTTATCTTAATAATTAAAAGTTAGTTGTTAATGTAATTATTTATTAGTAGTAAACTAAAAGCTTTTTTATTAACAGTAATGTTAGTGTATCTAAGATAGTAAGTAATTAAGTAGTTTAGCTACTATTTTATAATAAGTTAATATACACAGTGCTTCTTTTTAAACTAATAGTTAATTGCACCCTAATTCTCCTCTTTAGTAGTAGCTAGTTTAAGAATAACAATGTCTAAATTATAAGAAAAGAGTAAAAGGCGTAAGAACACCTTAGCAGTGTTAACAGCAAAGTGGCATATATAGCCCTAGTACTTATACTGCTGTCCCTAATGCTGCCTTATTTCTATATTAACGTGTACGCGTGCTAGTAGTTGCTCTTTAGTAGTAGTTAACTTAAAAAAGTTTAGTAAAAAGCTAAAATTAAAGTTATTTATGTTTTTTTAAAGTAAAATAAATTCTTTTTTATGTCTATGTTTAAGTAAATTAGTAGCGCACTTCTTATAAGTACCTTATTAATTTAATCCTATGTTAAACTACTTTTAATTATAAGTAGTGCATGTATCTAACTTAATATTAAGTAGACTCTTATAAAAGTTGTTAATATAGCCCTTATTAACTTTTAGTATAGCCTAGTTTTTAAGAAATTTAACATTATTAAAATTTATAAGTATAGGCGTAGATAGAAAATTATACACACAGTACTTAGTGTTTAAAAAGATATCTATGTTAATGTCCTTATCTAAACTATTGCTAAGGTTGTTTTTATTTATACCTACTTTTTATAACTAAAAGGGTGTAGACTAAAACTTTCTTTATGTTAATAGTAGCTTTTAAGTACATTATGTACTTAAACTAATTAGAGTAAATAGCATAGATAGTATATTAAAAAGGTTACCTAATAGGCTAAAAATTTTATATTAAAAAGATTATTAAAGTGTCTGTTATATAGAAATGTTATAATAAAGAGAGCTTAATAGGCTAAAGTTTATAAAAAGTAATACATGTACTAGTTTTTTATTTATAGTATAAATATTAACTTTACTTTTTAATTAGTAACACTTTTAATATAAAGTTTTCTACTTGCTATTTTCTTTAAACATATTATTTGCCTAGTCTAATAGCGTAGAATAATAACAACATAGGGGTACTAGAGGAGACAATAGCAGGATATAGAGTTGTAGTCTGTTATTTGCAACATATGTAATATTAGTAAAAGCGCGCCTCTTAGCTAGCAGTAGAGGTATAGGGCTGCTCTAGGTAGGGCGCTTCCTTGCCTAGATTTATGTATTATAGGGCGCACATTAAACCTTTTATTAAAGGAACGTCCTGTCTCTCTATAGATTTATAAAGTAATAATAATTATTATAAAGTAGAGAAGGTTTATTAGTGTTAAATAGCAGAGGTACTATATTATAGGTTATAGCAGAAGGTATTAGACAGGTATTAGATAACACGCGTAGCAAGGTTTTAGTTTTCACGCAGGAAATAATTATCTAAGGATCTGCTATTTTTATGCTTATGTAAGCCTAAAAAGGCTAAAAGTAGTAATTCTTAGCTGCTAAGCCCTAACTAAAGAAAACTAAAGTCCACAGAAAGAAGCAGAGCAAGCTCCGCTAATAAGCCCTATAGAGCTGTACAGCTTTAAAAGTTAATAGGGGTAACATCTCAAAACCGTGCGTTACGAGGGGCCGTGCGTTAGGCGATGAAACACGGTAAGCTGAGCTTACGCAGCCTTAGCCTCGGAATTCCCCGACTGCCGCTAAGATAGGGGGCCTGATGAGCAACGCCATTGTATCAAATCCATATCACATTCGTGAGAAAGTTTCAGACTGTCAAGAACTGACTAACAACATGCACCCTTCGCGGATCAGCTTCGTTTCTTGTCTCATCCGCAACTCCGCCTTTTCTCGTCCGTTCTTCAAGAGGATAGTATGATCCCACTGATGTTGTACCTGTGGTAATTTGCCAATGGTATGGCGTATTAATGGATACTCTAGGTGCAGCTGAATTACGACCGCTGTTGCTCTTTTGGTCCGAGGCGTATGAATACTTCTTCGGGTCTCTGTCTTTCCCTGAAAGGAATTTAAAGAGCCGAGGGAACGCAGGGAAGCAGCCTACAAGGATGACTGTTGCAAATTCGGCTTCTCTGAGAGGTGGGTCAGTGTAGTTGGTACACGAGAATGAGGAGACATACGCCCACATTCCAACAGGTGCGAATTCCCACGTGATATCTACTGAGCGTGCTAAACGGACACTGTACACAAGGCGGCAAATACTTGAAGTGCATGCTCTGTCGCTTGTCAGCGTGGTGATTCCACCACAAATGGGGGCTTATGGAACTCACAGCACGCCCGTCGCAAAGACGGCACCTGCTCCAATCTTCTTTTTCAACGGCATCTGCAACTCACTTATGCCCATTAAGGGAAGCGCAAGAATCGTACAATCCGAGACTAGATTCATTACACCTGTCGCAATAATTGCCGCGTTCACACTCAAACACTTTCCTGCTAGATGGGGCATCCATATCTTCTCCCTCGGATTACATGCGAAAATGAACACAAAGAAAATAGTGGCATACATGACGATATTCGCGGCAATTAAGACCAGAACGGACCAATAGATAAAGTCCTTCTTGTGAGCAGTGAATATGCGCTGGATCTGGACGAGCACGGCGAATTTGGCGGCGAACATGAGCGGTGGATAGAGTATTTCAACAACGTTGGCGTACTTTGGAGCGGGGGCGTTAGCTTTATAGATATTCAAATTTAGATGAGATGCTTGCCATTCCGATCCTTTGTGTCATTGCGATGGATACGTTCCATTGATGTCGGCCTGCGCCGTCTTCTCCAGCGGCAACTATTACTGCAGTAAAGGCCGCGAAGCCAGACTGTTCAGTCTTAGTTCGTGATACAAATGGCTTCCTCTGTGGGTTATAATTACAGTGGAAAATATCAGGGAGTCTGCTTTTTACGTTAGCGTTAGGTACAAGATGGAAGCGCATTTGACGGACAGTCTTCCAACTGCATCTTTTTGAGAATATACGCTTTTGTGAACGTCCGTGCCAGAGTTGCGGAAGTCGCTAAAAATAGACATATCACAGAAGTGGCAATAATATATCGTTCCAGAGAGTACGGGTTCTGTAGGTTTGGTGTAATACCCGGAGGAGGCACCAAAGCTGGCGTCGTATGAATATCCACATTCTCCATACCGCCTTCCCCAGCTTCCCGAGAGAGTGTTGGGAATAAAATTTTGAGGGAGACGAAGAGAAGTTTGTCTGCTCAACAGTTTTGATCGGGACTGGTGCGTAATGTATCGTAGGTAGGCCGACCGGCATACGGACATGCGCAGCAGCGTAGGGCTGATCAATCACCCTTGGAGATAGCGCCTCTCCTGTCTGGGATTTATCATAGTTAGATCCAAGCTGTCAATCTGACAGATTCGGTGGGGTGCCGAGATCCCCTCTAGTAAGCTGTCTTGGCCGACAAATTGTGACAGGCCTTGCGAGTGAGCTGGAGCACGAGACGTGCATGGAATATCATGGCTGCTTGTCTCTGGGGACATGAAGACACTGCCGATATAGGATCTAGGACTACGATGGTAAAAGCGCATATCTGCGAGTATACGGATCCGTAGAGGTTAGTGGAACCTTTCTAGATATTATCATTAACTAGGCTTAGGCATCTTCGTACATCGCAGTTACTTGGATTAAGCGCCGATGGTTTGCGAAGCGAGTACGTTGTTAATACTCTTAGCTGGAGTATCCAAAGCGCTGCGGAAGGCATTGCTAGACGCTTCAGCCAGCACAATGAGCATGAGCGGGATACACCTAAACAGATGAGTCTCCGATCAGCGATGCCGTCAATATGGTGATAGAGCCGCACAACTCGGCACATGATAAAGCTAAGGAAGAACAAGAGAGATAGATTTCCTAGTTCTAGATTGTGATTTGAAGACTGCCTAGCATTTGTGTCGGAAAGTCGGCTTGATCGGGGGGAGATGGGGTGAGCACTATGGATTAGTCAGCTGGAGTGTGACAGAACGCCACGCTCCCTGCTAAAGGATGACCTGCGTAGATGCCTCTCTATCTTACCACCTCCGTCATGTGCGTCCTCATTCAGCACCTGTTCGGAGTTATGCATCTATTATTAGTTCTTGAGAATCCTTCCAATAATGTCGCAATTTGCCCAACGCTAAATCAACAAGTTGTGGTTTTCCTTATTGACCAGACATGTTTCGAGTCCGATAGTCACAGTTCTTTCGCCTCCACGATTAAATTCTCGCTTCTCTTCTAAGAGCTATGGCATTTGCAGCGTGGCATGAGATATGTCTTCGGGACGAAGACAATAATCCCATTTACCTACCTCGTTGGGTAGGCAATGCCAAGCCTAACATGTGATCAGTCCCTCTGTGCCTACATGGCTCGAGGTCTGCTGATGCTTAGGTGGTAACATACCATTTCAACATCCAGAAGGGGCATGAGAACCAAACTATCCTTTTATCTTCCTAATCTCTAATCTCAGGATATATGTCATCCTTTCTCAATATATGTAGGCGACGATCTCCGGGGCGGCTATGTATCTTACTAGCACGGACGCGGCATTCGGGAGACTATGAAGATAATTGAAGGAAGATATGGCTCTGGGCTGATGTACGGAAGCCTCCCAGTATTATCTAAAAGGTGTACTCTGCAGCGCTTTTCACTGTATCGAAGTGACGTAGATGAACGAGGAGCAGTACTACGCCGCTAAAACCCCCTTCCAATTGCAGATTTTCCACCGGGGAGTACGGCTAATTCTAGCAAGCTTTCCTCTTTCGGACTAAATTTATTCATCGCTTCGCTGAAGGGATGGCTCAATTAATCCCTCCTTTCTACTCCGTACAATTCCCTGACCCCTCCTTCGGGCTTCGGATGAAACAGCTGCCATTACCGCTGGTCGCCTTTTAAGCCTTTATTACTCGAGATAGTGACCTCTCCAGTGGCTCCCTCAACATCACGTGTGCCGATATGGCTCGATGTGCGAACTTTATGGCTCATTACATCGTACAGCAGTTCGATCGGAGTGAGGATATCAAGGCATTGAGTCATCAGCATCCCAGCCTTAGGAGTGCTATTGTATTTTCTTGGTTCTATGAAAGCTGGATACAGAATATACCCCCCGAAGCTTGTTCAAGCGTAAGTAGAGCATCATGTCTACTTAGGCTCTGTTTCTTTCGCCTCGCGATCCCCCATCAACAAATCAGTCCTTAATAGAGCAATTGTCTGGGCCTCGCTCTAGCTTCCTCACCGTGACCATGACTTCGTGCTCAGAGATGTTAGAGAGTCATCCTAAAGAGTACCAATAGGTAAAGAATTTTGAGAATTAGAATAAGGACCTGGCTATCATTCTATATTCCTCGGATCCTACGGGTAGATATACTCAGGTTCTGCTCGTTCAATCTCAGATCTGACTGATACTAAGGCTACCAAAACTAGTTCCCATGACACATGCTAAGTTTGCCATGCTAGGCAATGAGAGAGGCTTGCTAATAGTCCCTGGCCGTAGGAATAGAGACAACATAATCTGAGCTTTTAAGTGTCCTAGTGGAGGATGATGCTACACTATCTTCCCATACTTCCACCTTGCACGTTTTTTTCCCTTCTCGTGAATTCTATTTTCACTGAAGCCTCTAGCCCAGTGCTAATGTTTGCAGGTACGGAACTCTTAAAGCTCTAGTCACCTAACATTCCTTTCACCCACTTCTGTCTAATTATGCCACATGCTGCTCCCTAGAGCTAGTGGTGACCTTAAGTCACATGACGGGTTCACCTAGTACTATATAAACCCGTAGTTGCCCTCTTTTAGCAATCGATCCAGTTCTTCATGCCTCTGGTGCTTCTCCTAGCTTCACAGCTAAGCCTGGGAATTCCTTCCTTCCAGTGGATCTCGGATTAAGGACGTTATGTATCATTGCACTGGGGATCCTTTCTCTGCATTTGCTAGCGAACAACTTTCAAATGTCCCCAAGCTGTGTCTATTGTATAGGTCTATGGAGGCGTTCCAAATGCCACAATTTGCCCCCATTACGTGAAGACTGGGTATAGATAGAATGGAGTCCCCACTTCAAAGTCGGAATGAAATCTTCCGAAGACGAGAAGAGTACTTGCGAACCAACTATTCCTGTTTGCAGAATCAAGTACTTAGAGAGCCTCGGCACGTAGCCACAATATCAGGAATACATGTTTACCATACGAGAGGGTTTTCAAATAGCACCCTGAAAACCCCACATTATGGCAATATTATAGATATAGAGACGAAACTATTTTCCACTAGAATAGAGAGAAATTCAACCTAGTACCGGCCGAACTACAAATTCAAGGCGATCCGGCTTTGGAAGACTCTCTTGTCATTGGATAAGGAAGAACTCACGAAACGCTTTTAGTAGAGTATAGGCCTAATCTAGGAGCAGAGGGGCGTAAATAATTGGCCGAAAGCATCGGCCCTTGGCAGAGAAAGCAAACTACCATTTACGTGGCCAAGGCCACATACTGCTAACAACGTTATATAATTCATTGAAACTTAACTTTATTATCCCTCTCCGATCTTTCGAAAAGCCGTTCTTAACTGGCCTTCGTACGACCATTGATTGGAGGGCAGAAGGCCCTAAGAATCCCTATATTGTTTCCATCTCGTCGATCGCGGCCGTTGGAAATTGGATCAATATTCATTCTAGTCAGCCTGTTGTACCTGAATCCCCCATTTAAGGTTGCACGCTAACACTCAAGATGGTCTATGGCGAGTAGAAATGTGTGGTCGAGGGAATATTTAGTAGCGCCAATGAAGCTTCTGGTGTTCTAGTCAGTGTCCTCTATGTTGGTCAGATTGATGGAAAACTTGGCGCCGGCAAGTGACCCATACATGGGTGGCTTCTTTGCCATCACTAAGACCTTGAAGGTGCTCTAGGCTTTGCCCTCTCACGTTGCGCCCGTGGACTGGATCTTGTAGTGCGCTTGCGGACTTGATTGGTGATGCTACAAGAGCCAAAACTGGTGCTGACTAGGCTCAGATCTTCAATTTAGTGCACTAGGATCTGGTTCCTTGAGTGACCTTCCTTCTAACCAACAGATTCAATCTGAGCGTCGAGGTTGTAAGTCTTCTCGGACGGTTCGATAGGCTTATTAACACGGCGGAAAGGGAAGGAGAGAACGAGGAGAAATTATCTGAAAGTACCTTCTCCAATTGCTTAAGGTCCTTAGGGGAAGGGCAAGAAAGGCTGAGACGTGGTGTTAGAAATATAAAGAGAGTTTCTTAGCGGCACACAGGAAATTACCGAGGACCTCCTGGCAGAGCGGCTTACAGGGCTTCCAACGGGCCGTACTACGGTTCGTACAAAGTGAACCGTAACGGTCACGTGTTCAGTACGAACGTACCAAGTTCGTGAGCCGTACCGTACGTTTAATAATGCCCTAGGTACGGTACGTAGTACGGATTGTATTACCCTTTTAGGAAGTTTGTATAGGGGTTCTAGAGGGGTAGAAGGGCTCTGGCGAGCAGGAGGCCTGCGGACGCTTAAATCTCTTTCTAAGCGTTTTAATCTCTTCATCTGTCTGTCGTCTTAAAAATGCCTATTACAGACTATTTTCTATTGCAGAGTTATCTATCTACGCCTCTTGCAGCCTTACAGGCCTTATCTAGGCCTATCTGCTCTTGTTACTAGGGAGAACTAGTTATTTTATAGTTAATTAGACCTTAATCTTGCGTCTTTAGAGACCTATAGTCTTAGCTGTTTTAACTAGAGTACGGTGTACTTTAATTAAATTGTACTACTTGTACAGATCACGTGAGCCGTAACAGTTACGATACGTACACCTACCTCTCCTCCTCCCTGTCGTACGAACGTACACAAAATCTCACCCGTACAGGCCTCAAAATCGCCCAATTGTACAGTACTACGCCTCGTTGGAAGCCCTGGCGGCTTATGCCGTGGTTATTTTGAATGTCGGGAGCTGTCAGACGACATCTGCCTACACCAGCGGTGGGTTGCAAATCAAGAACTTACCTTTTTCCTTTGCATTTTGCACGCAGACTGGTCCTATGAAAGGAGCACCGTACACTTACAATTTGCTCCTACTCAAGAACGATGCTGCCACCGCGGTGACCTACCTGCTCCTCAATAGCTCCACCACATCCAATCGTAAATGACGAATATCGAAACTTTTAAAGTATCTACTATCGTAAATGGTTATGTTTCCACGCCATAACTTGAGCATCCAAGGAATGACATAATTTTGGATGTTCAGCAATGCATTGGATACCCTTGGCATCGCCCGCTGACTCCAATATCAAGGCGGCAGTGGCGATTTTTCATAAGTATATGCCGAAATTCAGAGGCCCTCTAGAGCAGATATCACAGGATCCGATCAGTCATAATCTTCTCCAAGTAGGGTGTACGCGTTGCTCTTAATGCTTGAGAGAGATGCCGTGCCGGATGGGCAATCGGCAAGACCGATGTCAAGCCCACATCCAGGCATCATATAGGAGTCAAGTTGGTACCCTCGAAAAAGTAAATTCGAGGATTAGAATCGGAAGCGACCACATACTCTTCCTACTAGACACGCCGCCCGTACTTGTTCTATCGGTTTGTAACTTTCGTGGAATAGGACAAGCTATTGGAAATTTCCTGCCTGTGCCTCTTACATGGCACTGAGATTCTGTACCTGAGCTGCCCTCAAACCCAAAAATATCAACACGGCACAGTACCCCAACGTGTCTTATCCACCAATGTAAGAGAATATCGGTTGAGCAAGCGCGACCCTACGCGCGCACTGGCTGTTGTATAGGGTGTTTGCGGTCTAGTTTTTCTTAACTCTAGTGGCCTTTTTGGCTCCTATCGTACTGAATAGCACGTCAATGGGAAGCGGTTTTGGATTGGTTGCAATAATAGCGAGGATGAATCAAGAGAGCTAGGCTTGGTTGGAGGAGTAGCCCTCTCGAGGGACGTAAAGCAACCCTTGAGGTTGCAAATTACCCCAGAGGTGGTGGGTGAGTCGGCCGCAAGGGTCGAATACTCTTCATCGACAAGTCCAAGAAAGAGAGAGGGTTACGCTCTTAAGGCAGAAGATACACAAGTGACCAAGACATGCTTTTTACTCCCTCTTGGTATGCGATCGGAGCATGACGTATTTTCGGCGAACAGGGTGCTTTTGACCACTTATATCAGCACAGTCTAAAGCATTATCATCCTCATCATATACCGACCCCAAATCTCGCCCAGCGGCAAATCCTCTCGGGAGGGTGAAAGATTTAAATTGAGCCTTCCAAGCTAAAATATTGTGTTGGCTTGGAGGGCTTCATATATTCCCTATGGGGTAATGGGGTAAATGGGGTAAGCCCGGGATGTGACACATCAGCTGCGGGGTAATCAGGGGTGTTGATAGATCTCTGAGCATTGCTCCAACTAATCTGCTTGTGCAACGTCATCTCCGCTCTCAATGATACCAGCCGATCGACCGATAGGAAACGATCACGGTTTTCATAGGTGGCGTTGGCAACCTCTCTCTCGGCACTTTTTTCTTCCCGAATCTAGTGAGCATTTATACAGGTCATTCTGTCGCACGTGTCTCACGCGATATCATACCCATGTACTGCACTATTCACTCATTAGGCATAGCTCCTATCTCGTACAGTATATAGTCAGCTTAGAGCTCTATCGAGCTCCTCAGACCTTACAATACACTCATTCCACCTTGTTTGGATCTCGATCCCTTGTCGAGTCGTTTGCCATATGTCCCCTCCTCAGCTCATGCAAGAGTTATGAGCCCGGAGTCGCGCTCCTGACTAGTCCTCTAGTCACCACTGCACAGTTAGCTTTTGCATCTAGCTTCAGGGCCCCGCGAACCTCGACACATATCGATCACAGATTGCTCACCACTTGAG